CGTGACCTCACGGCGGCCATGTTGCGGGGGGGCGGGGCAGGAGGAGGAGGCGCTGCTGTCGGAGATGGACGTGACGGGCCAGGCCTTCGAGGACATGCAGGAGCAGAACCTGCGGCTGCTGCAGCAGCTACGGGAGAAGGACGACGCCAACTTCAAGCTGATGTCAGAGAGGATCAAGGCCAATCAGATCCACAAGCTGCTGCGGGAGGAGAAGGACGAGTTGGCCGAGCAGGTCCTCGCCCTCAAGGCCCAGGTGGGAGCCAGGTGGCCAGGAGAAGGTTGAGGTGGTGGCCAGGTCCTCACCATCGAGGTCCAGGTGGGACCCAGGAGTTTGGGGAGGTCCAGGGGAACCCAGGTGGTTGAAGAGCTGGAGGAACCCAGGTGGCCAGGAGAAGGTTGAGGTGGTGGAGCAGGTCCTCACCATCAAGGTCCAGGTGGGACCCAGGCATCTGGGAGGACCCTGGCATCTGGCCTGGGGGCGACCCAGGTGGCCGGGCCCATAGGGACCTGGGTGTCCAAGATGAGCTGACCCAGGCGTCCTGGGGTGGTTGTCCCCAGGTGGACGCCCAACTGCTGGTGGTGCAGAAGCTGGAGGAGAAGTAGCAGGAGGGGGACAAGGGGGACTGGGGGGACCCCAGCACCCAGGTTGGGGGGGACCCAGGTGGCCGGGCCTGTAGGGACCTGGGTGTCCAAGATGAGGTGACCCAGGCGTCCTGGGGTGGTTGTCCCCAGGTGGACGCCCAGCTGCTGGTGGTGCAGAAGCTGGAGGAGAAAGAACGAGGCCTGCAGAGCAGCTTGGCGGCAGTGGAGAAGGAGCTGGCCCTGCGCTCCCAGGCCCTGGAACTCAACAAGAGGAAGGTGGGAACGGGGTGGGGGGGACACCAGGGTCCAGGGACCCCGGTGGCCGGTGGCCCGGACCTGGGTGGCTGAGGGTTGGGGGCCACCCAAGCACCCGGTCGTGCAGGCGGTGGAGGCGGCGCAGCTGGCGGAGGACCTACGGGCGCAGGGGGAGCACGTCCAGGCGCGGCTACGGGAGCTGCAGGCCTGCGCCGCCGAGAACCGGGCCGCCAAGGACAAGGAGGCCCTCAGCCTCAAGAGGGCCCAGGTAGGGGCCCCTATGGCGTCCATAGGGGAGGGAGCGGGGG